ACCCGTTGCTGAACTCGATAAGAACGATAATCGACAGGGTGTTCGGTTTCCCGATCGAGTCCCCTTTGTCGAGGTACCTGACAGGCGTGGAATTGCTGTTGACGAAGGTGAAGCAATGGGAGGAGAACGCGCGCTACGACGTCAGTTTGGCCGGGTTCGTCGAGTCGCTCGGCGCCATTGTTCTACGTTGGAGGAGGCTCGAGTTCTCCAGGCGGAAGGACACGTTGCAACTGGTCGCGGACGAGTCGAGGCCAAGCGCCTCGAAATGGTGGCTCCACCTGTTCGATTTGACGGAGGAGTACGTGGCGAGCGGGGCCGGGTCGAGGAAGGGGAGAATTATAGAAAGTTTGCACCCTTTCTTCACCGAGGCCTGCTTGATCGAGTTCGAGGACAGGCTGGAGCTGGTCCGTCTCTTCCATCTCCACCACTCTAGCCTAGGTAAGAAAGACCAGGAGGAGGAGGAGGGCAGGCGAAAGGAGCTGCTCGCCGTGCTGTGGAACGTTCACCTCTACTACGCCCGTTTCGTGGACCAAGTTCGAGGAAGGATAAAAGCCTCCAAGGAGCCCATCGCCAGGAGGTTGAGGGACACGATCAAGATCGCGAGATGGGAGGACTCGAGCTACTGGTCGGTGAGGAACACGGCAGACAAGACGAGGAGGACGTTGCACAAGTTCGCCAGGGAGTATCGTAAATCTTTGGGGGAGAGCGTAGCCGCTCATCTGACGTTGAAAACCGACGGTTTTTCCTCCTCTCCCTCTGAAAGGAGGAAAAGGAGGGTGCTCGAGGCTTCCGATTTCTTGATCGACCCCGTTCCAGACGCGTGCTCGATCGAGATCGGGGCGCGAAAATTGGCGGGATTGGCGGGCAAAGCTCGCCGATACTGCGAACGAGTGATCTCGAGCCGCGATTACAGCCGGATACGAACGGGCGTGGAGGCGTTCGTGGAGGAGTGCCTCGACGAGAGCGAAAGCTTGAGAGAGGCGAGGATAGGCGACGAGAAGGGAAGGCGAGATCGAGGTTCGAGGAGCATCGCGCAGCGGAAGAGGATGGCGTTGGCGAATTACTTCAAAACGTTGGCAACCCGTCTAGGCGTCTCGTACAGGGTAGGGGTGCTCGCGTGGAAGAATCGAAGGGACGAGGTGGTGAATCTCGCGTGCGCCCCCCTCGATCTGGCCGAGTTGATCCAAGAGTTGCAAGGAGACAGGGGAGGGGGCGGAGGGCTGGCCGAGGAATGGCCCGATTGCGACAGGTATTATTACGGCTCCATGGTCAAACTGAACTTCCTCGACGGGCTGCTGAACAGCGGCAGGGGGGGGGTGGAGGCGCGGGACGCCGAGCGCTGCCGCGGCCTCTCCGCCCACCTCGCCCTCCTCGCCCACCGCCAGAAGGAGACGATCGCCAAGTTCCTGGACGCGTTGCTCCCGTTCTGTCTCCAAGTGTCGAACCTTGGCTCGATGACGAGGGTGGGTGGTCCCTCGAGCGAAATCCTCGATCCCTCCAAAGTTTCGCGCATATTGGAATTTTCGCGCGAGATGGGCATCCCTGACCTCGTCCAGGCGTTGAGAGGAGGAGGAGAAGGAGAAGAGGGAAGGAGAATCGTGGAATTCGCCAGGACGGAAGGCGTCGAGGATATCGCCGGATTGGTGGAGGTTCTGAGGGAGGAGGAGGGGATAATTCCCGCGCAGAGGGAATTTAGGAACGCGGCGAGCAATTTCCAAGGGTTGTTGGAAGTGTTGCAGATATCCGTGAAGCAGATCGTCGTATTTCTGGAGAGTTGTCCGATGGACGAGGGTGTCGAGGAGGGGGG